AAATAGAAAATAATGGTACCAAATGACAGCTTAATCTTTAAAGAGCTCTATTCTATGCATGCACTAAAACAAAAGGACACATACAGGTACAATTTTTACCCCTTTCTGCGTCACTCGGTCCCAGCGTGTCAGGCCAGGATCGGTCCCTCAATTCCTCGGAAAGACGAAAATACGAGGTGGGCGTCCCCGTGGACCTCGGGAGGTCAAACACCTAACCCGACCAGCAGGTAGAGGGTAGAATGACACTCAAAGTGAGTGTGTGCTGGGCCCATCTTTTATAATCATGAGGTCACGTATTTCTCTTTCTTATCTGTCATGCCAATTGATGCTGGTCTGTCTGCTGTGAGACCAGTTCTTACAAGGGAGTTGTGAACTTAATTTACACTTGTAAGAGAGAATTGAGATGATTAAATTTTGAAGTACTGGACATTGTTTTCTCAGTGGGAAATTCCTCTTCCTGGGACTGTGTGTTCGAATCAACATAGGTGCCAGCCGACACTTCTTGCAGCCTCGAGCTTAGCTTATTTCCTTAATCGTTACTCAGAGTCAGAAACTTGCATATCCTGGTTATTGTTCCTTCTCTGCTCTGTATACAGATGACATCTCAGAGGGCAAGCAAGATTGTTTGAGAAAGGGGTGGGCTGCCTGGCTGCAGTCAGGATAGGGAAATCCGCGGGGGATTTAAATATCCCCCGTGGATTTAAATAAACATGTCCGCCGCTTTTTTTCTGGCTTGGGGAAAAGCCGGAAAAAAAGCATCTAGACTGGCTGTACCAGGTAGGAATAAGAGATCCTCTGGAAAAGGGCTTTATTCCGGAGGATCGCGCCAGTCTAGACGCTTTTTTTTTCCGGCTTTTCTCCAAGCCGGAAAAAAAGCGGCGGACATGTTTATTTAAATCCGCGGGGGATATTTAAATCCCCCGCAGATTTCCCTATCCTGACTTACCTGATTTGCATCCCTTTTCCGGAAATTGTGGCCAGGGTAGACGTAGCCCATTAGTTTATTGATCTCTGTAATCATTAACTCTCCTATTGCTTGTTCTAATTTTATCCTTTAAGTATATATTGTAGATGATGTTAAGATCCTCTTATGAAAAATACTTATATCCTCCATGTTTCTTAGGTACATGTATTTCTGGGGTATATCTTTTGATTAAAATACTGGACTGGGGACTTAAGAGTTCTAGATTCAGTTCCAAGCTTGGCCATTGATCACCTAGGAGATGTCCTTGAGAAAGTAACTCAATTTCTTGGTATTTGAGATCACCATCTATAACATGAGCGTAACAGTATTTCCTTTCCCCTGTCTTTTGTCTGCTTTGTTGAGTTAAAATACAAGACTTGTCAGTGAAGGGACTGTCCTCTAGTAACATATGTTTATAGTGCCTAACACAATAGCCTTCCCTGTCAATTGAGAACTCTTGGTCTAGATTCTCCTGTAATAAAAACTAAATATTATAAACTAGCTGCTGTATATACTTTAGGGAAACATTTATAAAACTAAGACATACATAAGTTAATATTTTGGACCTTTAAATGTTTAATAGCAGCAATATATCCTACAAAACCAACTTAGCCATAACTAATGCAAAGTGTAACATAAGCCTTTTGGGTTAGGGACTGTTGATTATTATATGTTCATACAGCGCCCAACACAATGGGCGCCAACATAATGTGGCCTATTGATGCTAACATAATATAAACTTTAAGCAAACACTTAGCTCCTCTGGAAGTACTCACAAATCAAGTTACTTGCATGTGTAATGAGCGTTTTCAGGACTTCTCTTTAGTCTTATTTTATATGTGAAATGTTTGCGATCAGATAACTTCTTCTGTAATTTTGATGGAATCTTGGCTCAGGTGGTGATTACACAAGATAAAATCTTCAAACAAAAACACTGTTTTTCTGAAAATATTCCTAATAGTAAAAATGTACCAAAATGCAGACGGAGCTACAGCATATAGGCAAAATTATTTCTAAATAGCATGTTTTTCCAATAGCCATCAGCAGCCTTTCAGAACAGAAGTGTGATTTAGCTACTGTATATTAAATCAGATGACACTAGAAAAACATCAGCTGGTTAAAGATTTTTTTTCTGAATCTAAAGCAACAAGGCAACGTATTTATGCTTCAAAGAATCTCATTTTCCATTTCCATCATGCTTCTTAAATCCATGATTTCTAAATTAAGGCCAAGTGACATTAAAACATACTTCCACATGAATCATTTTCATAAGGCCAGAGAGAAAAAGATAGATTTAGGCTTTTATATATGAATATTAAATTAATTGTTTGCCTCTTGAAAATAATCACTTGCCTGGTATATTTCCTCCAGTGTTTACTCTCAACAAATGCTTAAAATGCAGTGACTTTCCACCTGTCAAAAGCCATCTAGAAATTGTTTCTTCTAACAAAGAAGGGGAAGGCGGGAAGCATATACCCAGTGGAGGATGGTGACAGCTGAAAGTGGGCAGGCAAAATTGACATGTAAAGTTACTGTACGCTCACAGCCAATTTACAGCAGCAGGTGAAGATCACATAGCATCTGACTCAAAGGAAGGAAGGCAATGCTTTCCCTGAGGATCCTCTAATGAACCCTTGCTCTTCTCAGAAATTATATACAGGGAAAAGGACACAATTTTATGAAGGTTCATGAAATTGCCAGCTAGGAAATGAAAAAGATTGCCATAAATAAAGGCTCTATGAGGCTGTAGATTCAAATGAACAAGGTTAGTAGTCTGATTGCATTCTAAAGCCAGTTAAGGTGGTTTTATGATTAAGACACTCGACTAGGAGTCAGGAGATCTGATTCATTTCTTGCCTATGCCTTAGACTTTGGTGTGAACTTGAGTCAGTTGCTTAATATCTCTTTGCCTCATTTCCCCATTTATACAATTAGGATAATAATCATTCCTTTCTCCATCCTCCCCTTTAAATAATGAATCATAAACTCTCTCACACACACGCACACGCACACACCCCTGCAGAAGGTAAACTCTTTAGAGA